TTACCGAAGATTATTCCTAAATGGGACTTAAAATATATTAAATGTTGAGTGGGGGAACCCTTTCCGTCGAACGGTGTGAAGTTAATCAAATTGAACTTCGCCGGGTACGGAATTGATTCTCACTCTCTCGGGTATGGACATGGTATTCCGGTCTTCTTTACCTCTTAAGCACTCATCAACACATTGATTTTTCCTTCCAAATCCCTCATTTTCTTATCCTTACTTGTATTTTTCTTCCAGGCGATTTTGGGGAGAAACGACATAGTCATCCTTTGTATTGTTATCATCCATGGGACCACTCCCAGCATTATTGTCAACGAGAGGGGTATCCATGTTAATATTCTCGTCCACTTCCCGATCACTATCTACTTGGTTGGAATTATTGCGACGGTTGGATTCTCCCTGTTGATTCGTTAGTGCCACAATTTGTTGGACATGTATTTCCCTCATCTCTTACATGGCCATTTCTATTTAGAATTTAAAATTCTCTTTCTGCTTGGCTAGAGTATCCTCGAGAATTTTGGCCATTTGCTCTGCTTTGATCATGAATGACTCATAGGATTACCCTGCGCTGGATGCCGTATCATCAGAAGCCATTGCAAAGCAAGTATCTGACATTTCATCATCTGAAGGTAGCCCTTTTTGCATTCTTTGATAATCCCTTCGTCTAATGGTTCCTGACTATCTTGTCGGAGCCAGTATACACTCTGATCCTCTCTAGTGCTTGTGTCTCAGCACTCGATAGAGGCCCCATCGTCAAAGCCTCCCTCACGATCTCGGGCCAATTCAAACAACCCAGGTTAGAGTCGTCCCCCGAGACCCAGACAAATTTCTCCTTCCAATCCTTGTTCAACTCAGGAGGGTCAGTGATAATCTTTAATCTTCCCACCATCTAAAAGTAAAAGTGGGCCTCGCGCTAGTGCACCTTGACACTAACCAGATGAACAAGCACATTCAGGATCGGTTTAACCCCTAACCAATGATATATGACCACAAACCCAAACACATTAGCGATTGAGTTCGGTTTCATCTGCATCAATGAAACCTACAAGGCTATAAAGACATGATGAAGGAAAGGGTATAGGGATAGGTGCAAACCACACTCAAGATGTTTTATGTACAATGGAGCCTAACTCCCATCATGGTCAAAAACTGCCTACGACTTTGTCGGCACCGTCAACTTGTAAGGCCGAGGGATATTGAATTTCTGATATAACGACCTCAATTGTGGCAACGTCACTTTCGAGTGGAACATCTCCAACTAACCCTGATCAGTGTTAAGAGTGGAATATGCTATCGGAATATTCTTAGAAGATCGAAGATCGCAGGAAGAAGAAGAACGACAGAGTTCTCTTTTTTCAGTTAAGATTTAAAGATTTTTAGAAACAAACAAATCTCTTCTCCCAACCACCGTACTTATAGACAGCTGGATCGAAAGATGTCAACATCTCAACTACCGGATCAGTTTCAGGCCAACGGCTAAGATTAACTCTGGAATTCGAAATGGCCTCTTCAAAGTCGAGGTAAGGCACGCTTAACATAAGTAGCTCGCAATCAGGCACGAAAGGTGAGGCGACGGCAACCAAGAGTTGTCCTCTGACATAAGCCATGTTACATCCAAGGGACTTTTCAGTCACCCCTTATTAATGCACCTCGTGACTTAGCAAATCCACATTCTCATTTCACTCGGACCCGGCCAATGCCGACTCCCAGTGAAATGGGCTAACTGTTATAACCCCTAAAAATGCTAAGTATTAATCACCACAGAGAAGCTGACATGTGCCTTACACTCTGCCTAACCAAACTAATTCACAACAAGAATAACATCCGACTCGGCACAACCAGCTTGATTGGCCGATATCTCACGTAACTGAGTCAAAAGGTGGTACTACTCAGGCCAACCTCTCAAAAACACCAGCAATACGACTCAGCCCACTATTAAGCTGACATCTCGCATATCCGAGTCAAAAGATGGTACTTTGCAGCCCTGGACCCGAGGAGTCAAAAGATAACAGTTACCTCAAACCCCTCGCCAGCTGACTACTCTAGCATTAATTGCCCTGACGACATCATCATTACCCTAGCCTCCATAGTCTTTATGACTCATCGGACCCAGTCATCACCAAGCACCTGTTGTCATTCTAAAATAAATGACCAACTCACCTTTTGAAAGTACCTTAGAGGGGGGGATGAATAGGATAATTGCTAATCTAATCCGGTATCGATGCCAAATTAAAACTAATAATGCAAAGTCCTTAACAATATGATATGCAAGAGGATATGCAAGGATAAACAATTATACGATAGGCGATATAAACAAAAAGCACAAGATATAAATAGTGCGCCAAAAACACAATCCCAAACAACAAGAATTGATCACGGAGTTCGGTCAACCCACGACCTACGTCTCCGCTTCTCACCTCGAGGAGATCTCCACTATATCTCAAATAAATACACAATCGGTTTCCAAAGTTCACCAAAAACTTTTACAATCTACACGTTGTCAATCCCACAAGACACACTCCTCTAAGTGTTGGACTACCCGTGTTACCTTCCTCAACTGTTTGGATTTACCACATCTTCCTAGGCTTTACTACTAACCCGCTCCTCTTGGAATTAACCTCGGTCTCTCTCCAACCACTCCTCTAAGTGTTCTCGTGTATTATAACATGTTCAACGATAAGTGTAAATAAAGATATTGTTCTCTAATACAAATGAGAAAAAAATTGAAAGCTCACTCAATGAATCAACCCCACAACTCAAATATACTATATGTGAAATACTTAAGCTCAATTGGTTGTGTGTGAAAACAATGAGTAAAATAAAATAAAACTCAAGTAAATCTAGCTTGTATACATAAGAATCAAAACAAAGATTAAGCTAGAGAATGAGTTTAGAAAACTTCTCCAAACAAAGAGATGTAGATATAGAGATTTGAGGTTGAACGCCTCAAACCGAAATTAAGATCATTCTCTTTGTGAAACTCTCTTCACATAAACAAACTTCATTTTTCTCAAAAACCTTTTAAACAAATTGGAAAAACTCTCTTGTAAACTTCCTTGAAAATTTTAAGGAGGTCTTGAGAGCTATTTATAGCTTCTCAAAACAAATCAGCCAAAACTAGTCGTTACAGAAATTTTACAGTTGATCGATCGACTGATAAGAAAAATTGGTTGACTGATTTGTCTGTAAAAGATCTGTTGAAAAAATTGTACTGGTCGGTCGACTGGTGGAACCTATCAGTCAACCGATAACATGATATTTCAGATACTTAATTTTGCTAAAAACTTGACGTTCTAAAATCGATTTAAAATAGCAAATTAACTCCAAAAATAGTAAAACTTAGGGAAATGTATATATATGTGAAAATAAACATGTTGGAAAAGGAGTTTCTAAAATAGCATTTCCCATTTGTGAAAACTCATCAATTTGCAGAAGGTTCAAAAATATGAACTTGTTAAAACTTGGTTTTGATGAATTCCTTTCAAACAAGTTCTGAGATTATTTTTAATAGACTGATAGACTTTAGGAAATGTGTAAAACACTATCATTTAGTCTATAATCCAAAAACACATTATATTCTCAAAAATAATAATAATAAACCAATATGTGTGTGTATATGAATAATTTGAGCTTTAAGCATAACACAAAGTATAAAACACCTAAACTACTATACCCAAGGCAAATGGCGTTTGATCTTGGGCGATCCTCCTCTTGGTAATAGGGACGAAGCACGATTTCGTATTTGACTTTAATTGAGACGGCTTCATTTTAATTTCCACCAACCTCCAAAAATATTGTCGTTAAGGCGCAAATCCTTCCAACCTCCAGTACGGAGGATGTTTGTGTAGAATATCTAACAAGCAAATGCAAAACACTCGACAAACAATGTTAGAAATTATTTGTTAATCATCAAAATCAGATTAGACAATAGGCTCATAAACATGAGACCTAACACCTCCATCAACAACTTACACGTAGCACATGTCTGCTGACTCAGCTGCCTAGTTGGACTCAGCCCAAATTACCTTCTTGCCCTTCAGATCCACTATAAAAGGAGTGGCACTGCATGGGGTAACTCTCTATGGTCTTTTTACGTAATTAAGAGCTAAATTTATACTTCCCCACTCAAGATCACCTACTGACTTGATCATCGGAGGAACAACCGGAGAACACAACTCCGCCCTCTTACAAGTTCTTTCATGTGCAGGGAAGAATAGCGAGCCTCATAACAATTCATCAGAAGGAGTTAGAGGACCCTAATCACTCCACAAACTCATAGATAACCTCCTATTTGATAACTAACATCAGCAGGTGGAGAATAATTGATGTCGGCTCAATACAAAATAAAATAAAAGGAATGAAAGACACTATTTTCTAAATACTTTATAAAATAGTTTATTTTTAAAAGTAAATTAGGAATCTTTAGAAGAGAATTTCGTGAACTTTTAAATATTTTTATATGCTTATGTCGATGCTTTCATTATATAAAAGTGTATTAGAGTTAGCGTAAATATTTAATTTATGATTTATTTAAGTCTATCATGGATTAGGAACAAACCCTATATTCTCTTTTGTGTTGTTTTAGCCCACTTTTAACCAATCATCTTATCTTATTAGATTTGATTATTCATCTTTCTTTATTTTTAAGTGTTTTTTACTTTTGCAATACTATATTTCTCAAGTCAAACTTGATTTCATATCGATCCAAATAATACGATAATTCAAATTAGTTTCAGATTATATTTATTTCATATCAATTGAATTATCAACACCAATGTTTAAACTGAGTGCCGCTCATTTAAACAAACATCAAAGAAAATAAAATGATCACAATGCTAAACTAAAGTTTAGAGGCATAAATGAGCAAAAATGATCAAAGTGAAACAGATAAATAAATTTTAGTAAGAAAACAAACCTAAACTACTTAATCATGTGCATCGTACGTGCGGAGAAGCTAGTGCATAAGAAAAACGAAAGTGGGAGGGGGTTTTGGTAGCTTATTGTGAAATTCACGGTGGTGATTCCCTCCGGCAGAAGCACTCTCCTCACGAACGCCTCGAAAAAGTTCCCACCTTTTTTTTTTACCTCCCTACTGAGAGCCAAAAATATTCATCTAAAACCCTAAACAAAAGATGACGTCGGAGATCATCGACAGAGAGGCAAGAAACATCTTCAATCTCGCTGCCATCAGCCTCCCTCCTCCTCACGCCGTCAACGATCTCTTATCCATTGGAGTCAGCCCTCTCTCATTCTCTCGTTTCAATTCTCGCTCAATTTTCTTTTCTTCCCCCAAAAATTTGATTTTATTTCTTAATTAAAGGTATGTGTTCGATGCATCTTTCGATCGTTCGGAGCTCACGGTTCCGTTTATTCCTGCTCTTCGCTCACGGCTCCGATGCTTCTGTCTTTCCTTCGGGAGGAGAAGGGTTTTCACAGCGATTCTTCAGAAAATGGGATTGATTTCGATAACGACGATTCATACTGTTGCGTTTGTTTAGGAATATTGCAGCTCGCTAGTGACAGTGACAGAGAAATGGGGAAATGTGAAGAGAAGGCATCTGTAGGGGGCTTTGTTGAGAGGGTTGGTGAAGTTATAAGAAGAGAGAATCATCAGATCGATGGGTTTTCTCTTGAAATTTCGATACCCCCTGTTATAGCCGCGAATGAGCGTGCTCTGCGGTAAAGTTTCGTGTACTTCAAAATTTTGTGGGTTGCTTTGTTAATTTTAATGTTGTTCATATTTTTCATAGGTTGTATTTGAAGAAGAAATATGACTGTGAAGAGTGGTTCAAGGATAAGTTTCCTTCAGAACAAATTACTGTAAAGGATGCCCTGAGGCTTTTAATAACCAGCGCACTTGAAAAACACTTGGTATTTACCCCCCCCCCCTTCTTTTATTAATCTTTATATCATCTAAAATCGCGCATTTTTTTGATACTGTATTGTAATCTCCTTTGATGCTTGTTGCAGGATGCTAAATCTGGAGCCAATGAGTTTCGTATTCGCTTTATGTATACTCATTCTGAGTCATCTGCAAAGCTTCAATGTTTATTGGCAAATGGACATGGTTGCAAGAGAAGAAAAATTGGTAAGTGAAGTTTGGTATTTGGTAGGAATTTGTACATTGTTTGACCTTGCATTCTAATCAATGCACAGTGGAGCACATAGGAGACCAAATAGAGTATTTGTTATTAACCAAATATTCAGCTGAAAGGTGCCTCTTGAATCTTGGATATCAAGATGATAGTTGCGACAAACAAGTTGCAACAGTGAGGCCTCGCTTGGAAGATGCATGTGAATATGCTCATAGGATGATCTGGAAGCTACTACGTCTCTGCTAGATCTTTAGCGGTTTTGACTTGCAACTCACAGATATAGACTTTGAGTGCATTAAGCGTACACATCAGCCAATTCCATCATGCATAGAAAGAATCAAACATTAATAAAAATCTTCATTTCCATCGATTACTCGTAGTTAACACACCTAAGCTTACATTTCATTATATGATGACCAATGAGATATAAATATTATGGTAGAGAATGCAAATACAACATTTTGTGTTGTTGGCTGCTTATTGAAAGCCACGCCAAGACAACATGTGTTATAGGCTGCTCTCTCAGTTATTGAGCTTGCATCATTGTTAATTAATATTACCAGGTGAAAGACAAAATCCTCTTAAGATCTATAGAATCTCTATGACTGAGAACGTCTAACTACATGAATTTATTTCATTTCAGCTGTGAACAAAAGGTACATAGATTACGCTCCAGTATACCTTATTAGCCAAGTAACTTAGCAACTCAACATAACTTTCAAAGAATACCTTCCTCCTATGATAAACTTAATGCAAGGAGTGACAAAATGCTTGAACATGGAACCAGAAGCCAAAGAATACAAGATGACACATCTCATCTTGTACACATTGTAGAAATTATTCAAGTATGTACTTTGTTCCCTTTGCACCTCCTGAAGTCTTACAAATCAAGAGTTTCATCTTTGAAATTGAAGATTAATTACTTGAACAAAATTAATCGAATTCCTTATGGTTCCAAACCAACCTCCTCCCCCCATCGGTGAGATGGGAATGCCTCAGCAAGGCAACAACAAAATAAGCACGAGAAAATAATGAAGTAGTCAATAGTAGCGATTACAAGGTTGAATCTTAAGTATAGACAATAAAGAATAAGAAATAACAATCTTTAACTTTACATGCTTGAGAAAGAGAGAAAACTTGGATGTAAATAAATTGAAATTAATGAATGGTAATTAACAATGACCCTTTAAAGTATTATTAAGACATAAGTTGCATGTATATTCCAATATCAAAACAAGAAAACGAATTTGATTGAGAAGAAATCAAGATTATGTTTAAACGAGAAACTATAATTAGTATTTACCTCAAAATCAATAATCCTTTTGAGGACACAAGTCAATAGATTACACAAAAGAACAGAAGACTCCTTATTTACATTTCTTGCGTGCAATGTCTATATTATGTTTGAACGAGAAACTATAATTAGTATTTACCTCAAAATCAATAATCCTTTTGAGGACACAAGTCAATAGATTACACAAAAGAACAGAAGACTCCTTATTTACATTTCTTGCGTGAAACAACACCCATTAGTCCTATACTTCCACCTCCATACATCAAATTTATCTTTCTATACCTACAAACAAAATCAATCAAACAACATTAGCCTTATGTTCCACCACTACTAATTTCCTATTTATTAAAATCGAGAAAAATTCTAATATTACAAAAAAATAACCAAAACCCATTAAACTCTGTATCTTTTTTTTGACATAGAATAATGAAGTTCAAATTTCACGAACATGAGCAAGATTAGTATGATCTCCACTAGGTCTTTCCAAATGAAGCACAAAAAAATTTACCAGTTCCTTGCTAAGTTCAATGGCAGCAACTTGGTAGATATCTTTCTACTCACGTATGTTTCCACTTTCCACAAAAGACAGATCTTCTTAAACTTTGGAAGGTTACGAGCTATAGGTTCTTATGCTTGCATGCTAATTGACTCTTCTTTCTCTCCTTCAATTTGTTTTATTTGTGAAAAGAAATGGTCTTGAGCAAAATTTTTCCTTGAGAAGAAAAGAGCTTTAGAGAATAAATAATTTTTCCTTGAGAAGAAAAAGACTTGGAGGATAATTTTCCTTGAGAAGAAAATGACTTGAGAGAATAAAACATTTTTCCTTGAGTAGAAAAAGACTTGAGAGGAGAGAAGATGATATGTATCTTGAAATGAGCCACCCCCCTCTCTCTCTCTTGTTAGTGGTTCAAGTTCTCACTCAAGTATTCATCTCATCTTTCTTGGGGTTTTATAAGTACCAATGCATGTTTGATTATAAAAAAAATATGTCTATTTCTTTAAAAGTTGGATTTTGGTTGCCTCCAAAATCTTTGGGTGGGCCGGTCCTGTTAGTATGATATGCCCTAGAGACCAATCATAGAGATGATTGTGTTTAATTTATGTTTATGCAACTTCTATGAATAATCTGTTATTCGGTCCATTGAATAAATCACTTATTATGGATCATTAAGTATGTGAATTGAATATGAAACTCTGTAATTAGATTATGATGTTATTCTAAATAGTCCTTGTCTTTTGTCATTGGTTGGGACACTAATGATTTTATAGGCAGTATGTGGATTGATTGATGATCATGTTTCACGGATCATAGATATGAGATATCAAGTCAATCACATGGGTATATGTTGGTGAACATGATACTGGAAGGACCCGCTATGAAACACTGTATGGATTATAAGTGTCATCAGTAGGTTTCATATAATTTTGTGTTTGGTCTTTTGACCTGAGATTATCACGGTTTCCTACATGAGGATTGTATACTTTGATGTTACCAAATGTTTTTCCTAAACGAATAATAATAAAGGTATCAATCGGGTATGCTATAAATCATGTAGAGGGATGTGAATGGTCAAGATGAAATTTGTCCATTTCATATAAATGAGAATATAATATCTCTGGGCCCCTCGAAGAAGATAGATTGAGAAAGTGCATGACCATGCCTAATTAGTTGAGCGTCAACTATTGAGAAGTCAGTCTAACTTCAGCTGCGAAAAATTAAAGGTTGAATTGTATAAGATTGACACGTTTCCTGTATTAAGTTCAATCAAGATATCTAGTGATGAAGAGACCGACATATGTCCATTGTGGACTAGGTTTCGTCTGAGATGACCTTTACATGATTTGGGTAGTCATAATATCCTGCTAGGATCCGCTTATGACTTGTGGGCCGAAAAAGTATTTTGGCTCACTGCCAACATCGTGTAAACCTATTGGGTCGCACACAAGAACATGTTGGAACATTATTAAGAAAAGCCCGCATAAATTTAGTCATATAGAGATATGATTAGTTGTGAGGCTATCGGGTAATAGGATAAGGATTGATTTGATTAATCACGTTTGAAAGAAATACTGACCAAGTTCAATGAACCTATCTCCTAGCAATCAAATTGATATGATCAATCACGGTTTAAATAAATGATTTGATTTGAACAAATTATATTTTGAGAAACCGTCTGATTGAAATTCCGATCTCTTTACGGTTTGAGAAACTACCTCACAGCCCTATAAAAGGGGCATGAGATGGACCTTTTTTTGATCATCCAACCGTGCTTCTGAAATCGTGAGGGAGAGAGAAACTCCAAAGGCCGCCGTCTTCAAAGTGCTAGCACACTGACGCGCGGAGTTTCAACAAGTTCGTGTGGATACTAGTAGAGGCGTCGCTTCAATTGTCGCGCAACATCTCAATGAGTACGTAAGTTTTCGTTGTTTATCTGCACGCTTCAGGTAATTTTCTATCTTGGATCTTCTTTTACGTATGGATCTTAGGATGTAGGTGGTTAAAAATTTTTGTTTTTACTGCATATTAGTCTGCCTACTTTCTAACAGGTCCATCTCTACTATATTATCCCTTAATTGTTTAATGCACAAATTGAGCAGAGAAAACACATGCTTATTATCACCATCTAAGTTGAATACGACTTGTCTCGCCTAGTTCTTTCATTCCTTGTTCTTGGGCCCAAAGCTATTGTGAACCTTCTCTGTTGAAGCCAATTTTTTTAAGAAAAAATATAAAAAGTTAGTATCATCATTTGATTTGTGCTCAGTCATTTGAATTTCAAAATGAGCCGCTTCAAACAGAACAAAAAGAGCATAAGGCATTGGCATAAAGTATTTGAATCATATCGGAATTTGTTATTTATGTTCTTAAATCCATGAAATTAAATTTTTTAAGGTGGATAATTGTGAAAGAAAAGAATAACAGACATGCTTGCTCCTGGGTGCGCATAGTGCACATGCACAAAGCTGCTAATAATGTGCAATTGATGGATTATGTCAACCGATCATCTAAAAGATACGGTTGAGAATTAGATTTAAAAAAAAGAATACCCAATTAAGGATAACATTTAGATTCAAGCTTAATTTTATCATGAACGCGTGGAAAAATATCAAATTCAGATTTAAAGATTGAACTAGATAGCAAATTCTTTAGAAAACTTAACCTTATCAATATACTCAACACCTCCTATCCTCTATAAACTTCCACAAGAAAAAAACCTAGACTGAAATCCCTACCCCCCAGCCCCAAATAAAAAAAAGAAAATAAAATTTTCATCAACCTCCCTCTTTCTCCCCTTCGACTAGAATAAAAAAATGGAGAAAAATAATAGTGGGTGTTCGCTCCCTCAAAACAATTACACAATGATTCCCTTCTACCTTCTTTTTTGTCAAACAAAAGATTGATGCTCTTATGCCTTTTAATCCCTTAAAAAGTTTGTAATCTGTCATCTACTTGAAAGATCATGAATTAGCTGTTAAAAAAAGAAAAAGAAAAACCGACCAAGTTACGTCGTTCGTCATGTAATAGATCTTGAGTTCATGCTCTCATATATAGTCTTTGTACTCTTTTGGAGCCTCTACACTCTCAATCTGAGTCTCTGCACTCATCTACAGAGTCTGCACTCTTTTAGAGTCTTTATACCCCCTCGGAGTCTGCACTTTTTTAGAGAGGCAAAATTTTTCAAAATGGGTAAAAAAAGA